GAAGATGCGTTCTGCACAGCCAAGTGGCACCGGGCTGGGATGCTTTACACTTGAGAGATGAAGTAATAACAGGTGGCAAGACCAGAGGCTGCCGGAGCCCAGGATTCCGGTTGCCATGGCAACATGACAGACCTGTGGAGGGATGAGAACTGTCAGCCGTGGAGGGTGGTGGGGGGACGGGTGGGGGGCACCAAGAGAGGCACAGCGCCTCCTGGAGGGCTCTTCTCCCTGCCCCCGGGTTACCCAAGTGCCGCACGCCCCTGCAAGCAGGCCCTGGGAAGACAGCTGCTGGGCTGGGGCTGGGGTTGGGCTGAGTGGTGGCCACGGAACACAGCCACGTGTCTTTGCATACCAGGCCCTGGCAGGCGGTGGAGCATCTGCTCAGGATGTGAAGTCACGCTTTTGTGGATATGCCATGGAGGAGCCTAAACTTCTGGCTTGCTTCCTCTTTTTCTAGGACGCTAGGGACACAGCTCTGGTCTCAGCAGAAGTAGGTGAAGGGCTGTGGCTGATGGCCAGATGTCCCCACTGCTCATTCGTCTCATGAGTGGCAGGCGTATCGCAGCAGAAATTAGACTGAAAGGGGGAAAGACAGCCCTGTCTGGGTGATAATTCCATGGAAGACTTTGGGCCTTGTTTGCTCTCGACACGTGGCCTGAATGAAGTAAAAAATCCTGCAGTGTGGTCGTGTGCCCTGATGCCTTTCTAGAAGGACTGTTCACTCTTTCCTGAGTGTGCTGCTGGGACTCTTTGGAGCCTGGCTTTTCCTTTCTCTTCATTTGATTTATTTGAACGTTGCTTCCCACCTTCTGTTATTTATTATTAATTTTTGCATGAACTTGGTTCTTGGTTTCCATTTTTTTCACCCTTTGAGCTTTTAAGAGTTATCTCCCCCAGGTAAACTCCTAAACTCTCAAGGCTCACTTAATTTTCTCAGCAGCTTCCTTATATCACTTATATGATCTCAGCCCATGAACATTCATCAACAGAAAACCAAATCCATCACTGGGGACGCCACCATTGAGATACCACTTGGGGCTTTGGCCTCCCCATCATCTTGTTCTATAAAGCGAGACCCAATTTCCCATAAGCAGAAGCAGAATCTCTATTTAAATCCCACTTGCAAGGTCTGGGAGAGCTTCCTATTTATAGTAAAATCCTTTTTATAATGATCTCATAGACGGTGCCAAGAAATTGCTCACGGATGGGTCAGGCCAAAGGCCAATAAAGCCACGGTGTGAGCTTTACTTAAAAAAAAAAGCCATCATAAGTCTCTGGAATTCTCTGGAGAAGTGTTTTCACAGAGTATAGGACAATAAACAGGGTCACCAGGATGGATTACTGCAGTAGGGACATTAAATTCAAGTTCAAAGGGAATTTCCACTTTTATCAGGCCAATCTCAATACATTTTTTTTTATCACTTTGGGCTTCCTAAATAAAGTAATGGGTGAATCATGTTGACTCTAAAGAGATTTATGAAATATTTCACATGCAAGGTTGGCTCTGGACTTCCCAGGAAGCAGAGAAATGTGATTAGAAACAGAGTCATTGGGGACACAGACAACCCGGGGGTGAGTCCCGCCTCCTCTACTTCTTAACTAGGGCCTGAAGGCAGCCCCTTAATCTCTCTGGGCTTCAGTTACCTCATCTGTCAAATGCTCCCTACTTTACCACATTGTTGTGAGAATCAATGAAGTTGCGTGGCTGAAGCCTCAGCGTAAGATCTGTCACAGTTCTATAGTGTAATATACATCTGCTTCTTTTTCTTCTCAAAACGCAGGTGAGTGAGACGGAGCTGAGTGGGTGGGCACAACCTGGTGTCCCCTTCTCAAGAGACAGTGACTCATGGACTTATCCTTTTCTTGTATGTTGTGTATAAGATGATACTTCACTTACTGTGCATAGTAGGGGTACAGTACAGGGTTATGCTCCCAGCAACCTGGGTTCCTTGGCCACCTACTCTTGTGGACACTGGGAGCTAGACATGACCCAGGCCAGATGACTGATCAATCCATTTGGACCATTTGGACGTGGACCAGCTCTGGGGACTAGGGAAATAAACCAGGCGGTGAGTGATATTCAGAGTGACAAATAACCCTGCCTCTTTCCCCCAGGAGGAGCTCCCAATGCATCACTGGGCTGCCTACCTACTCCTCTGCCATCCTCTTCTAAGCCATTCATCTCACACATCCTTGTTAGCCATTTCCTGTATGTGGGACATGTAGGTTTTCCAACAATGAGTTGATGTGGTCCCCAACCTGAAGGAGTAAACCACTGAATATGGGGCGATAAGGTGTACACACATACACACAAGGGAAGGGTCATAGAAATGATGTCAACACCATGCTCTCCCCAAGGCCTGGATGATCTTTTCTGGCTGGGGAGTAGGGAGAGCTCTGTGGGAGATCTCTCACCCTGAAACTAATGCTAAATACCTACAAGCTAAGAGAACCAGATGTGAAAGCTATGGCTTAGCCCATCCTGTGCTGCTTTACCAAGATGGAAGCCAGCTTTGGGCTCACTGCCATGAGATGAGACTAAGAACTGAAGCAGAAAGGATCTCACTGGAAAGTGAAGCATAACTGCTCACTACCGCTTTCTATACTGGGCCATTGCTGGACTAAAATGGTACCCACTCCCCCAGCATGTCACACCTGCACACACCAGAGCCTGCAGCTGGGACTTCAGCATCGTCTTTATTCCCTTGGCCAGCAGCTTTGTATAACCAGCAACCAATGCAAATATATGTGGGGACCCTGCTCTGATTCCATCTCCTCAGAAACTTCTCTTCATCAGATGAATTAAATTCTGTTTCTTTGGTCTTTCCATAGGATCAATTTCTCCATCATTGTTTCCTTTGCTCTACTAGATCGTTTCTGAATTTTTTGTTTCATGCCGTATTGGAATCCCTGGTTCAATAGGATGTTCTACTGGTGGTCTGTTGGTGGCAAAAACTACAAAGAATCATCTGGGAGCTCTTAGACTCTATATTCCATTTCTTCATCCTCGTAAATCACAAGGAATGCAGTGAGTTGGAGAAAACAAGAGTCCGTGGCTGCTTAAAGATTTTATGAAAGGGGAGAAGATCTGATATGATGAAGGGTCCCTAACAGAACAGGAAAGAGACAGCTGATGAGACTGGGCCTCCTGAGAGGTCTAGGGGGATGACATACATGGGAGCTGTGACCACTCGTCATACAGGAAGCCACCTAAGTTGTGATTGGCATCTCCACATTTTACACCTAGTTCATACCAATCTTGGAGCTTAGCTTTGGTTTATACTCAGCCCCTAAACATAACGTAACCCACTTCTTCCTGTTCACCTTTTGATTGGCTTCCACGATAGTCTCTTAATGAGGAAACCCTGAGTTTATTTCCTTCCTAGACATGCTTGGATTTTCTTAAGAGAGTTCTAAAAGTGGTTAAGACGGCAACTGAGAGAGAAAGGAGACGAGGGACTTCCTTCTGGATTGGGGCAATGAAAATGTTATAGGCAGAGTAAAATTTCTGCAGGCCTCCTGGTTTTTGGAGATTATTTGCAAAACCATTCTGTATGACACACAGATGTCTTTGCGATGCAGTGACTGATGAAGAAAAGCCCACACTCCCCCGGCCACAGGGTGTGGCCAGCTCCCCTGTCTGCCCCAAACAACCAACACTTTTCTTGCAGAGAATCGTCTGCCTCCCTGAAGATGAAAATCAATGACTTAGAAACTGATTAAACCATCCAAATAGCAACTGATAAATGGATTAACCCTCTATAATGTAATTCTGTGAGCTTTTGTCTTCCGCCTTCCCCAGGTAAGTTTTTCTATTCCTGGAGGCAAAGCAGAGGCATGGAGGAAGCGAAGGCCAGGGGGAATCATATTAAAGTGGGTGAATCCGTTTATCACTTACTGTCTGGATGGTATTTCTGCTCACATATCTACTTCCTTTTACAGATTTGTACCCTACGGGACCCTGATTAATGGTAGCCAGTGAATAATGAGAGAGCGGCAGCCGTTGGGTGTAGCGAGGAGGAAGATGCCCTGGTGGTTTAGGCTGATCCCATAAACAGAGAGACTTTTTTTCTTCATCACGGAGAGTGTTAATATGACAAAGAAATGTCCACAATAGGGAATGAAAAACAAGGAAAGTGGAGGTATTTTTCCAGGGCTCTTTAGCCAGCCCCTAGAAGCTAAAGGTTTAGTGCTTGAGGACGTGGGCTGTTCTCGCAAGGCTTTGTTTTTAAGATCCTGCCCAAGATACTTCTTTGCCTTCGTGTAAGGCCTTTCAGCGTGGGTGGCTTATGAATGTCTTAAGCCTCCAGACATGCTCACTAACTTACCATTCAGCCCATCTCCAGCATGAGACTAAGCGTCCAGTTCTGATTAACTAGTCCTGGGTACTTTCTATGACCTGGACATCAGGGAGATGAGGCTAAACAAAGTGGACACCTGCGTACCTGCCAAGATGTTCCTCAGAGTCCCCAAGAGCCTCTGCAGGGTCCTTCGTGGAAATGAGCACCCATCAGTGCCTCTTTGTTTTCCTTTTCAGAGACAGGAGGAGTATCTCCTAAGCATGAGCATCTTTCCCAAGGGCAAGGCCTAGGCAGTGACCATTCTCCCTCCCACCAGTGTTGATGGCTGCTGTCTGATGTGTCGGGCCTTGGCCTGAGGGCTGGTTGTTCAGGGATGAGAGAAGTTCACTTGACTAGGAGGCCTTCTGGATGCCCTGCTCATTGCCATCAGAGGAGCAGTGTAGTTTCTTTAAAAGCACAGAGCTGGGAAATAGTGCAAAAATCAAACTCAGCTCTGGATGGCTTGTAAGACATTAGCTGAACTGAGGAGGACCCTAAAGGAAACTTAGCCCAAGTTAACAACTTGGCTGTCAGAAAACCTCAGATTCTAAACTTCGTATTCTTTCTGGAACAGATTCTGCCGCAACCTGGGAGAAGAGGGGCCAGTGGAGACTCACCTCAGCCTAACATTGGATTTTTTTAAAAAAAATGTCTCCACAGCCCAGAAAGGACCGGATGGGACCGTCATTCCCAATAACTACTGTGACTTCTGCTTGGGGGGCTCGAACATGAACAAGAAGAGCGGGAGGCCGGAAGAGCTGGTGTCCTGTGCAGACTGCGGACGCTCTGGTGAGTGCGGCCCCTCCTCGCAGCGTGTGCCCGTAGCCCAGGAGCTGTCCCGCTCGCATTCCTCTGCCGTCCTCGGTGGAGGGCGGGGGGGCCTGGAGGTGGGATGGAGTGACGGAGTGGAGTGGAGTGGGGTTTTCAGGTTATTTTGGTATTTTTCTTCTTTGAGTCTTAAGAACCATAAGTTATGCCCTGGGATCCAGGTAAAGAGAAAGGAGGTTTTGGCTTCTGTCTGTCCGGCTTTTCCATGAGGTGGATATGTTTTGTGTGTTGTTGTTGTGGACAACAGGGAGTCGGTGTGGAAATACCCTGGAGATGGGCAACATGCTTCCTTGTATCGGGTGATGTGCATGTAATAAAAATGATGTGTTTGTTCTGTGGAAGAGCCCGGGGCAAACCGGAAGAGTATGGAAACATGAACACTGGGGGAGCTTCTGGAGTTGTGGGAGTCAGAGGCCTCTGGGCTCCTGGGAAGCTGCATAAATACCACCTCCATTGGCCACTCATCCCATTTTCTCATACGGAACAGACAGAAGGGAGCCTGAGAGTAGATCAAGGAGGCAAAAGAGTCGGTGTTCTTAGGGCTCATCTGGAGTTGACTTGGAATGCTTAGAAATTTTCATCTTTATCCGGAGACTAAAATTGGTCTTGTTCTTTCCTTCTTAAAATGAGTTCAGGTCTTCAGGTTTTGTTCAAGCCATTGTCTTATTTTCCAATTCCATTATTTTTGGCTGGTCGTGGTTGGTTTTTCGTATTGTTTTATGTTATAACTAGACCAAAGTGCAAGGCAGGGAGGAGAGAAGGTTTACAGTTGGAATACAGTTCGGTGGGTGGTTGGTTCCGGCAGCCAGGAGCCGGGACTCTTGTCCCACCTTTCCACCCAGCAGCTTTTCTACTCTGAGTCCTGAGAGGAGGCCTGAGATGACCAGACCTGGCTTTACCATAGCAGCTCAGTTCTCCCCTTGCTTTGTCCACAAACCTTAGCTTTTGTCCTTTTATATTTGGTTTTGGGTTGCTTAAGCTTTCAGACTGACTTGAGCGGCAAATCAGGAATTGGAAAAGCACTGTGGTTTCCACTGCACACAACCCTGCACGTGTAACCCTTGAGCACCCTGAGGGGGTCGCCCGTCTCCTACAATCCCGTCAGTTCATTTACTTGCCAAATGTGATACCTAATGTCGAACTTTTCAGTCCTACTGGTGCCAACTTAGAAGGGAGGGCCCATGGGATGGTGGACTCTGGGATTTAGATACTCAAAAAGAAAATGAAACAAATGAAATCTAATTCAGCAGTTTTTAAAAGCAAGCGATCGGACAAAATCTCCGCCACCAGAAGCACAGTTACTTGGTGGCATGAATGTTACAGACTGCTGTGGGTTTGGGATGCATTAGGGAGGGCAGCTTCAGCATTCAGTGAAAACTGATGAAATTTCCCCTCTTCCTTTCCTGTAAAAGGTGGGGTACTTGAATCTGATCCCCGGGGGACCAGAAGTGGGCAGTTGGTTTTTTTTCTCTCCAAAGCCTCTCTCTCACCGTCTTTGCTCAGCTTACTCTTCCTGGGATCTGTCTGTTGTGGGGCTCAGGGGGTCATTTTATACCAGTCTAGGTGTTCTCATTGCATTTTCCAAGGATTCATTTTGATGGATAGTTTAGTCAAGGTCTGACTCTGATGTTCCTGAAATAGTCGACACCTTGGGAATAAACAGGTGGCACTAACCCATGGGATACGCTTGTTAAGGCAAGTGGGCGAATACCTCTCAGGGCCTCCCTGGAGTCCTTCCAAGGAGGAGTGTGAAGCTCGGAAGAGCAGTCTTGTCCTTCCCACCTACCCTGCCACTTCCTTTTCCTGGGGGAGAGTGTGAGAGTCCTGAAACTGGCACCATCAGTGGTGCCTCATGACCTCATTAGGGGGTTGTCCCAGGCCCCATTTAGAATGTGGAAAAGCTTCAACTTGACTTCCTTAGATTTGAGGACACTTTCATTGGGCTTTGCCACCCCTATTTCCCACTTTCTCAGTGCTCTGAGTTAAATATGAGTAACTGGGCTTTCTGGAGTAACTTTCTGGAGTAACTCAGACCTGAGTGCGTTTGCTGGCTGGAGGGCTGTGCACGGGCCCGCGTGTACACCGCGTGCATGTGTATGCACACGTACGTGGGTGCAGATCACAGAACTGTCCTCCAGCGGTGAAAGAAAACCACAGGCTCTTTTATTACCTACTGCTTATCAGACTTGCCGACTTCTTTTTGCTTTTAGAGCAAATGAGCTACATGGTATAAGGGCAGCACTGAAAGGGTCCAGAAAGAATGGGATTAGAAATGGGTAAAAATCAAAAATAAAACGGATGGAGGCTAACCACCTTGACCGGGTTATCTGACAGTAATACCTTTGTAAAGCTGACTGTCAAAGTGAAGGACAAACATTGTGCAAAGAAACGCCTGCTGCAAACACCAAAGAAATACCAACCGGGCTTAAAAACCACCGAGGAAATGCATTGTCTGGGGCAGGGTTGAGCGAGCGTGCATGCCAATGTGTGCCTACGGAAGAGAAGAAAGAAAGATCGAGGTTGAATCTTGCGCTGTCAGAGCTGTGGACACATGTATTATGGTAGAGATGATGCCTTTTCAGGGAGGGGAGAATCCTTTTCCCTGGAAATGTTGGCTTTGTCCTGTTACCCCAAATCCCTGTTGCCAGGTGACGCACACCCAGTTCACCCCTTTTTAGTGTGAAATGGTTTATGCGCTTGCTATTAAGAATAACCCGGTAATAATGTAATAAGAATATGAATAATGCTGTCTGTTGCTTAACCATGTGCTGATATATTCATCATACATGTCAGCTCATTTGGGAGGAGAAGGCAGGAAGGAGAAGGAGGCAGCAGCCGCAGCACGCACCACGGAGGACTTATTCGGTTCCACGTCAGAAAGTGACACCTCAACTTTCCACGGCTTTGATGAGGACGATTTGGAAGAGCCTCGCTCCTGCCGAGGACGCCGCAGTGGCCGCGGTTCGCCCACAGCAGATAAAAAGGGCAGTTGCTAAACGCACGGAACAGACTCTCTGGGCAATTAGCCATCACCCTCTGACTTTGGTCCTTGTTCTGGTTCTGATATACATATATATATTTTTTAATGAAAGACAACTTAGGTTTTCCCTTCATCCTTGCTTTTTCCTCTCACCTTCCATGTGTCCCTGCCCCCTTTCCCTCTCTTTAGGGTATGCACAACAGAAGCACAAACTACTGAAACAAAACAGAACAAAAGAGCACAGAGTAACAGTCCTTCAGAGAGATGGCATCGTGATGTACTATTTATTTTCTATAGAAATGGGAAGTTAGGCAGAGTATCTCTTTTTGGGGGGGAGGGGACCTTTTTGACACGAGCAGAGTTGATTTCCTCAGTTGTCCTATTTATTGGCAAAATGAAGAGAGGAGGAGCATTGGGTTTGGAAACAAAGAACCGATAACCGTTAAGAATTATTATTTATATATTCTAGCTATTGTTAGAAGCAGACTCTTTTTTTGAGAGAGAGAGAAGTGAAATCAGAGACATGGAAGTAATGTCCTGTTTGGAAGACAGCCACCGGGGGGAGGATTGACTCAAAGCGCCCCAGTCAGGAGGATCTCCTCGATGGCAGAGGACGGCACTTTCTGTGCCCCACGGAGTTGGTGGCTCCCCCCGGCAGACCCCTCCCCGTTTCTCCTCCCTGACCTTTCCGTCTTCCTCCCTGCTTGTGAGGAAACGGCCGCAGTCCCCGAGAAGCCCGGGCTGCCCGCGTACGGCCGCCCTCCAGCACCTGGGCCCTGACCCGCAGCGCCTCCTGGCCTGGGACCCTCCTCCTCCGTCAGCACAGCTGCTGTTTGGTTGCTGCTGGGTTTTTCCCTCGCTTTCCACCTGGCGAAGAGCAATTTCCACATGCAGGAATGGAATATAAGCAGGAAGGCATGGACTCAGCGGTGACCAACAACTCGAGGCTGCGCTCGTGGAAGGAAGAATGTTACCTCAGTCTGTTTCCCTCTTCCCCTCGCCCCCTGTTTAAAAACGTATAAGTACCCGTTGGATGATCAAGTCTCCTGTATTCTTCTATTTTTTTATAGTGCCCCCCAGGCACTTTGTTTTATGTTTCCAATAGCACCTCCTGAAATAAACCAAAGCAACACTTGCTCAAGGCCCCTGGGGTGACGGAGACCATCCACCTTGTTGGCAGCCCCGAGGATGAACAGCTGTGCAGTCCTAGTCAAAAGGTATGTCTTGACTGATCTGTCTTACGATGAGGGAAAACCATCACAGTTGCTTTTTTTTTTCTTTCTTTCCTTTTTTTCCTTTCCCTTCCCCCTAACTCGTCTTTTGTTTTTCTGGGTTCAACCCCACTTATTAGTGTGGGTGTGGCCACTGGAGCATCTTCTACCAGCCATCTGCTGTCTGAGTGCGCATGTGTACCTATGCGGGCCTGGGCCTAGGTGTGGGATCTGAAGCTTGTTTGGACTGTGGGGGGCTCTGTGTGGAGAATGGTGGGCTTATGGCTTCCACTGCAAGAGAAGATGGCTGGGGGGAGTGCTTGGCTAAGTCTGCCTTCCTGGGCTACGTCTGGAAATGGAATCCGGGGAAGTGAGGTTGGAGTTGGGTGCTATACTTGGGTAGGAATGAGGGGACTGCATGTCTAGGGTGGATGGTCCAGGTACCAGTTGAACAGCCAATTAAAGAAGATCTCTGATTTGGCACAACATTCAACCCAGTTGATCTGAAGATCCCGAGCTCCCAGTAAGTAGGGTCAGGGTCTCCGGCCTTCATGAGAGCATAGGTCCAGATACTCAGGCACTGCCATTTGGCTTGGGTTGGGGGCTCCATGAGGCCACCCAGGCAACAGGCTGTAAGTGTCTGGAAAGATCTGCTTTGACAGTCCAGCCTTTGCAAGAGCCTCATGCATCAGACCTCTCATTAAAATAGCAAACCAACCAAACAAAAGCAAGGACCGAGCAAAGAAACCCGCAAATGAACCCTTTGTGCT